GGCGCTGCAGAGGAAGTGGACCCCAGCCTGCGGGCTGGACGGGTGGCGCCGGCTCTGGCCCTGCAGGGAGCTGAGGGTGAAGTGCCAGGGCGGGAGCCGGCCCCATTGTCCACCCTGGGCAGGGGATGTCCCCGCTCCGCGCTGACCCTGTGAGGTGGCCCTGGTCCGCCTGTCCTTAAATTGCCACGGTGCTAGCGGGTCGGCGTTGGGGGCCTGGTGCTCAGGTGCGCTCCCCGGAGCGAGTGCCACCCTGCAGGTCCGGGGGCCGCCAGCTTGTCCCTGCCCTGATGTGGGGGTGGCCCGGTGAGCATCCTTGTCCTTCCTCAGGCCAGGTGCTGGGTGGGAGGCCGTGCTGGGCGGCGCTTGTGATTCGGGAGAGCTGGTTCTCCCAGCCCCTGCCGGATGGGCCCACCTTCGACGTGAGCGAGCCTCGTTTGGGGTGAAGGGGTGGTCACGATGAGAACCTCGGGTTTGAGGTGGCCGGGGGTGGGGCGCGACGTGCGTGCGTGCACGTGCGGGTGTGTGTGGGAACGGGTCTGCCCGGTTTATTTAAATAAATAGTTTACGTAAGAGTGATGTTCCCTGTCCTGGCGGGGCGGTGGAGCGCGCTCTGCACGGCTGGGGACGCAGCCCTGGCGCAGGGGGTCGGTGCTCATCGTGGACTCCGGTCTCCGCCGGGGAAGGCGTCCCGGGTGGGACTGGGAACGCGAGTGCAGGGGACCGTGCAGGAGGCTGCGAGGAGCAGGTCGGACGTGTGGGATCCCTGGGGCGTCGGCCTCAGCCACCCCGGGTCGGCAGCCAGGCGGAGGAGGGGCACCAGCAGGGAGTGGGCGGCTCGGGCCTGGTGTCAGGGCTGCGGGAGTGCGTGGAGGGTCACTGGTCACTGCCGGCCTTGCTCCTCCCTGATCCAGCAGGCGGGGCTGGAGACACTGCTAGGGCGAGTGGCTCCTACCTGAGACGTGGAACTCGAAGTTTGACAGTGAGACACCTGGCTGCAGCTGAGCGTTTTAGCGTATGCATGAGCTTTTCATCCCTTTTGTTGGTAAGAAGTCACAGTAAGTACGAAGGGCTGACCCCACACTCAGCTACATTCTCAGACGTTTTTGTGTCTCTTGAGATAAGGTCTCACTAACCTGCTTAGGCTGGGCTGGAACCCATGATCCTCCTGTCTGAGCCTTGTACTGTCAGGTTTCTTTGGTTCTTTTGAGACAGGGTCTTGCTGTGCAGCCCGGGCTGGCATTGAACTCACTTCGATCCTTCTGCCTCAGCCTCCTGAGTGCTGGGATTACCAGTGTGCACCAATGCACCTGGCATAATGTGCAGTTCTCAGTAGGTGTCCAGAGATGCCACCACCCGTCCCTGACAGGCAGGACACGTGGCCCTGAGTGCAGGAGCTGGGAGAGGGCACTGGGCGGTGGCCCTGAGGCTGCCCTGTGCAATTGCCCAGCAGCCTGGGAGATAGGGCGGGGCGTCTCCTGGGTGATGAGCAGCGTGCCTGCACCCTCCATGCCCCAAGCCTTGTCACCTCTGTCTTCTTGGGTGGTAACGAGCTCTGTGCTGGGACGTCTGCACTCGGCATGGCCTCGGTTTCCTGTGCCCAGCACAAGTTTTGCATAGCAAAGGTGTGATGACCCACCATTCATTCACCCTTCCTAGGGAAGGAGGAGCTGGGCTGGTGACTTCAGTTTCTCCCCTGACAGAGAGGAGTGTTCTAAACCTAGGTTGGAGGGGAAGAGCAGGCTGTGAGGCTTAGAAGAGGTGAGTTCAGCTCTGCTTCATCCCTCTTTCTGGGCCATCCATCTGTCCATCTGTCCGTCCGTCCATCCATCTACTGTGTGTGCATGTGTGTGGTACTGGGAATTTGAGCCCAGGGCCTTTGGACCGAGCTGGGCTCAAGCTTGTACTCCTCCCGTCTCAGCCTCCCAGAGTGCTAGGATTACAAGTGTGTGCTACCAAAGCCCAGATGCTCTTTGAGTCTAATAATTCATCTTGTAAAACCAGAAATGTTTGTTTTGAAAGAAGATGAGAAGACATCGTCCACCTGTTGGGAAGCTACCACTTAGAAAGAGTTTTCATCTACAAAGCAGAAAAAACATGGAAACATCGAAGTTTCACACTGCCATTCAAAAGACTGATCGCTGTCCTTGGGTTTAGAAAAACTAAAGTTGAGGACAAAGTTTTGCAGGTGTTTGAACACAGCTAAGCCTCAATTTTTCATTTTCTTATGGTGCAGGCCTTCATATTCTACCACTGAGCTAGCCACTCCCCGCCCTGCCTCAGCTTCTGAGTCAGTAAAATAGTGAGAATTCTGATTCCAGAAATAAGGCACACAGAAGTCACAGAAGCACCTGGGGGAAATAGAAAGTGAAGCTGCTGCAGATCCCCAGTGGGCCCCAGCCTCCCTCACCTGAGAGAAGCATATTTAGTCTTCTCTATCCTGAGGCTCTGTGTGGATACAGCACACACCCTGGTGTGGCTCGTGGTATGGTGTTTTGCTGTTTGCATGTTCCAGTTAATATACCTTGGATGTCTTTCGGCAACAGGGCAGTCTGTCATTAAATGACCCTTAAAAATGGCAGAATGACTGCAGAAATCGTTCACATGCTGTTACAATTCTGAGAAAAAATAACCCCCAAAACAGAAGCACTTACAAATAATCTCTGTCTTTCCACCAGTGTGGAATAGCTCACTTCCTTTGCACACCCAAACTGTGGTTGGAGAGGTTACTCTCCGTGTTTATTCATAATGCTTTGTTAAGCCTACCCGAAAAGAATGAAAAATTCAGATGTTTAATTCACTTACACACAGAAACTAATTCAGTGTCCTACAGATATATGCTGTGAACAGTTATAAAAGGATGCATCTTAGTCTATAGTTTCAACTGCATAACAATAAAAATTGAATAAGTAATATACCTGATATCCTGGAAAACCTAGAAGTTAAAACAAAACACTGACATTTACACTTTATCCTACTTGGCAATGCTACTGGAATTCATTGCTTTCGCTTGCCTGGTTCACCTCAGGTAGTCAGGGTAGTAAGGACACGACACAACCTTTGGGAAGTTAGACTAGGATGTGGCGTTTTGTGTTTGTTTTTTGCTTGAAAGCGGTGACAGTGTAGTGTGTGGGGACATTTGTCCACTGCTCCAGCACAGATTCCAGAGGAACAGACACTGCGGCGGTTTTCCTGTTCACACCCGTCTCAGAGCCCCCACCCCCTCGCGGGCACCGTCACAGCCGTTGAGTAACAGCCTCCACCGAAAGGGCCTGCTTGACACCTGTGTGTCCCTCACCACGCTCACCGGTCTGCAGCCAGGGTCTCCAGTGACCGACAGTGTTTCCACGAATCTGAGCGTTCTCCAGGACTCTTAATGTCACCCGAAGGATTCCCACTCGTAAAGCTCCTGTGCCGTAGCATTTGCAAGATGGAATTCTTGTAGTTACTAATGGTGTTTTTCAGCAGTTTTCCCCAATGGCCCCTCAATCAAATGGGTTAAATGAATACTGTTTACTTATTCTTGTCCCTTCTCTCCTAATGGGTAATTGACCCTGGGTCCCACTTGGCCTGTTTCTGAGGTCTAATCAGTTTTCCTCTCTCCACAGCAAAGCACTTTTTCACCTTCGCCTAAAGCACAGAATCCCGCCTTTGCAAGCTGCTCCTGGTTGACCAAGAATATTCACATCCCGGAGGAAAACCTGGGCTTCATGCTCTGCCGTGGCTGGATTTCTTGGATGAGTTGCTGGGTTTGGGAAGTTCCTCTAAGCTCAGACTCACTATGAACATTAATATTTTGGCCCCGAGTGAAGCAACAGGAAAGTGTCACCTGCATTCAGGCCACTCATGATCACAAGGTCTTCATTTTCCAGTTTTCCACCACCGC